AAGTGTACTTTCTTCAAATCTCATACTGCAAACCTAAAATATGCATATTTGAAAGCAAATGCTTTCTTTTACTCCTAAGGGTGCTATACAAAAATATGGCAAACTACTCAAAAGCAACTATGCTTTCAAGTCACAACATTTTTCCCCATCTTAAAGTTCTGAACTTGATGTAGTTTTAAATCCATACCCACAATTAATATGAGATATGTGGTTCTGCTATGCTTCCTCTCTGTGACTCCCCCAAAAAGCTGTTGCTAAATTAGTACCAGGGCTTAAAATATCTGCCAATTTTTAATTATTAAAAAAACCCCAGGATTATGCATTTTTTAAAAGAAACAAAGCAATGTTATTGCATGTGTTTTCCTGGTAGCAACAGCAACTGATTTATTCTGGGGATACAGCAGCCACTTGCTGAGGGCCAGGCTATGGAGGCAATTTGCATAGAAGAACGAGCAGATTGTAGATGCCCTGACCTGTCAAGCACAGGTAGGGCCTCGGAGATAATGGGTCCCAGAATACAAAGCTCCATCCTGCTCCAGACAGACAAACACAACATGGAGAGGCCAGATGGATTAAACGAGAGACAAAAACGCTGGCTTCTGCCATCTCCACAGGAAGAAGGGAAGTGCTACAGAAGATGACAGATACCAGATACCACATGGCTCTCGCTCCAGCCTCCCAGCCCCCCGTGCTGTGCCTGTGGCACAACTTCAGAGAAGAGGCAAGCCTGTTCAGGGACACAAACCGATCCCCAGGGAAGGGCTCACCCAGCAGACAGGGCCAATCAGCCATGCTCAGTACGCATCTTCCTTGGAAAGAGGAGCAGGCCTCGAGAGGGGAAACTGAGAGGCAGGATCAGCCAGTGACTCCGACGCTCACTATGCCCCTCCATCCCTCTGTTCCTAGCTCACAGCCCACGCCCCAACCTGGCATGGCAGAGTGCACAGCATCCTGGGGGACACCCTGTCTGCTAGGATGGCAGTCCTCCTACTGCAGCAGTGCTCAGTGGTGACACGGCATTTGGACTTCACCAGGTGGCTGGAGCCAAGCCACGTGCCAGAAAAGAAAGGATCTTCTGCCCTCAGATGCACAGGGCACAGACAGGGAGGACAAGCAATTATGAAGGGAGGCCTGCAATGCCTTTCATTTCAGTCAGATGGCAAGGTGACAGTCTCGTAGCCATCAGTGGTGATGCCACCCTGGATTTTTTTGTTAAGAAAAACAAAGAGCTTGCTGAAGTCTTTAGCACATGCCAGGTCTTGGTGAGATGCCACAGGGACAGTTAAATGTCCCTGCCATCCTGCTCCCCATACCAGAAGTCTCTCTGTTCTAAACCTTTCTGCACATGGGCAGCAGCCACCCACTAACTGAGTGAACCTTCAGGGATCCCTGTGGCTTGCCACGCCCTGTGCCTCGTGGTGCAGGATCAGAACAGAACAGGGCATCCTCTTTCGTGAGCCTCACAGGGGGTGAGAGGGCTGCAGGCAGGATGGTGACTGGCTAGGACAGTGACGGCGAACCTTTCAGAGCTTCCACTGATACACACAGCCCGTTGCAGCACGCATGCCTGAGGTTCACTGTCACTGGGCTTTAATGTCACTGAGATGGTAAAATACCAAGGGATCTCAAAATCCACCTCCACCGTCTAAGCCAGAGTTTGTTAAACTTCCTCCCAAAAGTAGCTAACCACTCATCCTAAAATCTAAAATTTGCAAAGAATGCAACATCGTGAAGTGATTCAAATGGGATCTGCTGGGGCAGAAGGGCAGAGACAGCAGGGAGGGGTGAGGCTGGAGGCCCTCTCTGGACCAGAGGTAAACACAGTTTGGAAAGCAATGTTCTAAGTGCCCACATCCTTAGCTCTACAAACGAGAAAATTAAAGCTGAAGAGTTTTAAGTAGTTTGGCTCCAACCCCAAATTGGACCAGCATGGGAGTCGCCCAGGTAGCACACCTTGGGGCTCCTCCACCTCCTGGGACAATCCCCACAGCTTTCTCTGTAAACCCTGGACACTTATAATGGTCACCTGCATTTGTGAGAGCCGAAGCTCGGCAGCCTAGTCTGAGAATTAATGTTCAAGGCGGGACTCTGAAAACCATGGCCACTGATGGTGTGGCCTCTTAGGGCATCCACCACATCTTTGCAGCTCCTGTCCAGAGCTGCATCTTTATTTATTTGGGGTTTTTTGTCCTTCTGAACATGGGTGAATGAATAAATTTTAAGATGCTGCTACTTCTATCAAAAGTCTATTATTTCCCACTTTAAAAGGAAAGTGAGTTTATGAAGGGATCAAAGCAAATGTCCACACTGTTGGGAGACTGTATAGGCCATGTGTAAAGGGCTTGGACCCCAGGTTGGTGCCATGGGAGGTGGAATAACCTTCAAGATCAGACCAAGAAAGGGGTCCTGAGGTCACCAGGGGTGGGACCTGGGAGGGGACCGTGGACCTTGTTCTCGGGCTCTTTCTGGTTTTTGATTTTGTTTTTGTTTTGAGATAGGGTCTTACTATGTAGTTCAGGCTGTCCTTGAACTCACAGTGATCCCCCTGCCTCTGGGATCACACGTGTGCACCACGACGCCTGCCTCTTGGCTCATGATATGAGCAGTCTGCCCCATCACACACCTGCGGCCACTACCATCCTGCATCCTTACCAGAGGCTCACAGCAATCGGGCCACCCCATTTGGGACTGGAACCTCAGAACCGTGACCTAAATAACCTTTTCTCTTTAGAAATTCATTGCCTCTGATATTTGATTACAGTATCATGAGGCCATCAAAAGAATGTCCCTTCTACTCATATGTACTCCATGTCCTGTTGCATTTGAAATGAGTGACACATTATGTGGGTAAACTGACATTTATATAGGGACTAAAGAATACCTCAACCTGAACAAGAAAAATGTTCAGAAGCACCATAAATTATAGATGCTTAAAAATATATATGATGATGGGACAAATAGACTTTTTAAAAAATATACAACCAGGGGCCGGGGATTTAGCTCAGTGGTTCTGCTGTCTGCCTCGCAAGCACAAGGTCCTGAGTTCGATCCCTGGTACAACAACAACAACAACAACAACAAAAAAAAAAATATATATATATATATACACACACACACATATATACATACATACACACATACATACATACACACACACACACACAACCAGGACACAGAGGTAAAATCTGTTGTCAAGCAATATGGGTGAGCACGGTAAGGAACCACTATTACAATGGGAGAAAACTTAACAGAGCCAAAAGCTCATATGACTCAGGATCTTGGAGACCAGGCCTGGCAGCTAAAATAGGAAATACGTTTCTCATCTGGCAAGAATATGCTGCATATATTTGAAATCATTGGCTGATTATAGTGAAAAAACTGTCCAGATTTAGACAGAGAATTAGGCGGGAGTGGGAGGAACTCAGCAGCCCTCTCCTGAACTTGTGCTTTGCATATTACTTTATGGCAGAAGTATGCATCTTGCCAAACACATTCAGGTTATAGGCAGAAATGATATAAACTGGCTTTACATCTCCTCAGAATGTGTTCTTTTTATTTAAAGCTCTTCTTCCACACCACAGTCCTTAGGTATGTGTGATACACACAATCCATCCAAAATGTTAAAATGCAAGTCATTTACCATCCACACAAATTATTTGTGGTCTGTATTTGAACTCTCGAGCCATGAGGCCTCCAACTCTTATAAGAAACAGGTAGGTAGTGTCTCATTAGAGGTTAAAAATGAATCTATAAATGAGCAGTTATGAATAGCATATGCTAATAACTTTTACCATTAGGATTCCTAAATCCTTTCTCATTTAAGTAAATACATTAGTGTCTTTCCATTTTTTAAAGCAGAATGGCTATTTTTGTGAAGTGTTTATAAAGATAATCCCCCTGAAGCATATATTTGTACATATTTGTAAACATCACTTTTGGCCTCAACAGACCACAGAAATATATATTGTTCATTCATATTTATGTTTGGGTTGAACTATTTTGTAATTTGAGCCGGGTGTGGTGGCCCATGGCTATGGTCCTGCTTATAACCCCAGCACTCCGGGAGACTGAGGCAGGAGGATCACAAGTTCAAGCTCACCTAGCCTGTGCAGTCCAGTGACATGGCCAGAACTCGTCTTAAATGTTTTTAAAAAGGAGGTGGGGGGCTAGGGTGTATCTCAGTGCAAAGGTCAGGGTTCAACCCCCAGTACTGCGGGAGGGAGGGAGGGAGGGAGGGGAATATTTTGTAATTTGGAAATAGCACATATGAACAAATATATTGTTTGTTCAGTTCAAAGACAGTAGGAGTAATTCCTAAAAACAAAACAAAAAATACATCTTTAAGATGATAAACTATCACATGTATTCATTACTTACGTCATCTTATAGACATTATACAGCAATGGTTTTTAAACATTTTGGTCTCCAAATATCTTTTTTGAAATGTGGATTATATCTATCAACATATAATGATTTAAAACTGAGAAAGTTTTGGGCCAGGGATTTAGCTCAGTGGTTCCGCTGCCTGCCCCACAAGCTCAAGGACCCGTGTTCACTCCCCGGTACCAAAAAAAAAAAAAAAAAAACTCAGAAAGCTTTAAAATATACTAAGAAACAACAAATTGCATAGTAACATAAATTACAGTGTCACTGAAAATAAGCCTATATTTTCCAGGAAAATTTTCTGAGAACATGGTGATGTTTTCCTTTTCCTTTTCCTTTTTACTTTAACGCCTGCTGGAAAGATAGATTCTCATGCCGGCTTCTGAATCAGTCTAATAGAGTATCGCACGGCATGTGGCCTCGAGAAAGCCCCACCGTATATGGGTGAGAGAATGCGAGCACAGGGACAGACCGTGCCTTCCACGGAGACACTTTCGACCTTACAGAGCTCCCACACGAGCGCTGGGAACCCTGAAGGTTCTCTGGGACCCACTCTAAGAACCACAGCTCTACGGAGGTGGTGGCAGCCGCTGCCCTTCCAGCCGTCATCGACTTACACGTCTCCATGCCCTCGTCGTCGTCATCTACCGCGGGTTTATCGTAGGACTTGTCGATGGCGGCTCGGAAGCTCTCGTTGCAGCCTCTTCCTCGGATGATCCGCGGCCGTGGGCGATGGAAGGGAATGTCCCCGTTCAGCGTCACCTCGGCGACTGCTGTCTGCAGGCTCTCTAAGGAGCTGGACTTCTTCAGACCCAGGGAAGGCCCCACATCTCTGCTGGGGGAACCTTGGAGGTTTAAAAAAGAAAAGGTGAAAATATTAGTTAGAGGAAAGTGAAGATGACACACCTGAATGTCTACATACAGCGGGGAACTTCAGGGGCATAAGCAATTTCCTCCATAAGTGCTGGAATGTGCATGCAAAATACATAAAGGACAAATAATTGTTGCTAATTCTTATTCTTCCCAAATTTGCATTAGACTTTGTCTCTCTAGTTCCATTAGGAAAACTCTAAGAAGTTATGAGTTTCCATTTTTATCTCAATGGATGAAATTCTTTATCAAACCATTTTGCTCCAAGTAATACAAATCATCTAAAAGAACCAGAATAACCAAGAATCTCATGGAAAACATAAGAAGTGCAAAGAAGGCAAGGGTAAACAAGCCAAAGTAAGCTTCTGAAATTAACTGAAACCATTTTCTGGTGGTATAAAATACTTTACAGCAGAAGTATGATGTTCCAACCGAGAAAGTTTTAAAGTAAACTTTACCAAAAACAATACGCTTCCTTGCATCTCTTTCTCAAGATACCTGCAGACCCACAACCCTCTGTAATTGGTGGACAAGGGCTGCTGGTCACCAGTACAATTAGACAAGCCAGCTCCAGGTCCAAACCTAGTTCTGGGAAACCGGAACCCTTCAGGGAAAGAGCGATACAAGATTTGAATGGAAACCAAGGACCTAAGATCTCTGTCCCAGGGGAGACAGGAAAGGGCTGGATGTGAGTCCTCACACCTCCAGGCCTGGAATAGTACCTGTCTGAAAAATAGGTGAGGGACAAGGAAGAAGACTTTGCAATTACCAAGAAAAATTCTGCAGGATAGCAAGGGAAAATTCAGGGAATTAAAAATCTGGCTCTGTTTCTTGAAGATCTCGGGCAGAAAGGCCTGAGGTAATACCAACGGCACCAGGTCTGGAAGGCAATCAAATCTGCTTTCTGTAACCAAGTGAGACAGTCTCATCCATCACTGCTGACCTGGCACTCTAAGCTATACTAACTTAGCCCTCCACGGCGGAAACACTGGCTCCGCACCGCCACCTGGGCAGTCCAGGCTAGAGAAGTGGTGTCTCACTTATCCTGTTAAAAAGACAGATGAAAAAAATGGGGAGGTAGGAAAACTAAATAGTTTATCTCTACGTGGGATCATCAGCCCATATGCTGATCAATAATTAAGTAGTAGCTGTGTCATGTTGTTACCCAGAAGACACATACTTGTGACATGGGCTTTCCGTAGCTCAGAGTAGAAAATGGAATGAAATTAATTGAGAGAGTCAAAACAAGAATTATCTTTTTAAGATTCATTTATGTTACATCTTTCACCTAATTTTCACAGTGGGGTAGCTAGTTTTAAGTAAGGATAGATATGTTAAGATATAGGCACAACGGCAGACATATGACTATAATGATAAAATAATGTTCCATAAATGATCATGTTTGGGAGAAATTAGGATACGTTTAAGCTTTCTCAATGGAGGTTTGTATATATGTTATTATTTATTTAATGACGAAAGTTCACATGAAGTATTTGTCAAGGAGATTAATCGCATTCTATCTTTATAGCACTATGATTTTTGACAAGTACGTTTTCCAAATTACTCATAGAAGTTATTATTACAGGGAAAAAATGAACTTTTTACCTAAAGAACAAAAGGTAAGAAATTAAGGAATAAAAAAGAATGAAAAAGAATAGCAGTAAGCAGGGATATTTATCATTATATTCCCTAGAATTAGCATTGGGAAAATCTTTTTTGAATAAATTATGGTATCAATTTTCATAACTTACCAGCTGTATTTGGGTTCTATAAAGCATGTATTAGATAAATATTTGGTATTTTCTTGGGTCTATCGTGGATATGTGTATATATGAATGTATGTGTATTATCTCCAATTAAGATTTCATGCAGCTAGTAAGCAGTATGGTAAAAGTACCTTTTATTACATGTATTAAGCTTTTTAAATGAAAAGGTATGAAGATTTTACTTATTGTACTTGGAGCAAGGAAAACTTTCATAATGAATTTCAGAAATGGCTTGAGTATTTAATAAAATTGAGTGTCCCTCAGCATACACAGGCAAATCTACAAGTAAAACAATGCTGAAAGTACTCCACAGTTAAATGAGCAGTAACAATTTAATACATGGAGCTACCAGTGGGGTGCAGCTCAGTGGTAAAAGGTGTGTGTGGCATGCACACACATGCCAGCAGTCTCCCCCTGGCCCTCCAAATCAGTTTAACTCAGAACTTTGCCTATTCACTCTTTTCCCTAAATTCATAACGTTGTGCCACAACATTTTAGGAAAATGTTGATAACTGTAGACAGTGGGTGTCAGACTCATGGCTGATCAACTATTCTCTCTACATTTACGTATGGTTCAAAATAGTAAGTTATATAAAAAAAGTCAACATGTGTAACTTAGGGATCTTTGACAGAGATCAGCAAACCAAGGGCTGAACCTGGGATTTACTGGAACGCAGCCCTGCCTGCTTATTTACATGCCGTCCATGGCTGCTTTCAGCAGGACCACACAGGTGCTAGACAGAGGCCACACCAAGCTTAAGGCACTTACTACCTGGTCCTTAACAGAAAGACCTTCCGACTCCTCATCTACACCATGGGGAGCATACATTTTAGTACTGCATTTGTCCTTAACAAGCGTTTTATGTGACATATTAAGATTCCCCAATGAGGCTGAGATTCCTAACATTATAAACTTTGCATTTACTAGTAATGAAAACTGGAAATGTCTTTTCTATAAACAGTATGGGCAAAATGATTTAGTTTTATCTGTACCCCCCAAATCAGTATCTTTTATTTTTACTTTAAAACTCTTACACAAACCGTTCAGACTTTTAGTATACTTGGGTTACATTTTGTCTTTTTAAGGATTAAACTATTAAAAACTCAATTCTCTTTCTGTTTTCTTTTTTCCCTCAAAATATAAGAGCGCTAAACCTGGGAGTAAGGAATAAATCATAACCACACCAGTTTCCTTTCCCGAAGTCTAATTTTGTTAGTTTGTGGTGTTGGGGGTGGAGCCCAGGGCCTCGCCCTGAGCCACACCCACAATCCCAGACCTGTACTTTTCCCCTACCTCCTAAGGGCCTCCTTGCCAAAGTGGACAAGCAAACACAGCACAAGGTGTCTCTGGCGAGGGGCAAAGAGAAACCAGACCCGATTTTCATCATGACAATCTGATGCCAAGACAGGCAATATATGTTAGAAATGTCACTATGACTCACCCAAACAAGCCCTGAAATACACTGTAAAGTCATGATAATCAAGAAAACTTAGTAAGATAAAGAAAGAAAAATAACTGAAAACGTTCATTATCTAATACTGGGTGGTGAGAATCCAGTTTAGACATTTTATTAATGTAGATTTAAAACCATCCGGCCAAAAAGCAATTTGGTGTCTATGTAATAATTTCTTGTCCCAAGATTTCCCAATTTAATTTGGTAGGCTAGATTGTACCTAGTGTCAAAATATGTCCTTTGTATCTAAAAGCTAATATTTTAAAAGAGAAAAATACATGGTATGACTGGATTATCAAATCCACTTATTTGCCATGCGAGTTACACAATTCAGTTAAAGACTGGATACCATTAATTTTAACTCACATGAAACTGTTCTTTTCCTTTTGCAGCTTTGAGCTGATTGGATGAGGCATTTTCCTTGTTTCATCTAATAGGCACAGTATACAAGTCATGTCCTTTAACCTAAGCAGTTCAATTTGGCTTTTAGAATTATTGAGACAGTAGCTGTTTCTTTAAAAATACTAAATACTACTAAGTCCCAAAACAATTTCCTATTTTACATGTGTAAGCTATCAAATAATTTCTTTCAATAGTCCTGCTTCAGAATTTCAATGAATTGTGTGTTTGATAAGAAAAATAACTACTTAGTATGGGCCAAGGCTATATTTGATTGCTTTGTAACACAGTTAATCTTATGATTTATTGGACTTAATTTTTATAATCTATCTTTTACTCTACAGAAAATGCTAACTCCAACCATGTCCACAATAATCTTTATGTATGTGGGGTACACATTTTTTCAAGCAGGCTAAAACTAATTACTACTACAGGTTAAAAAGGTCAATTAAAGCTAACTGGTGTTGAGTAATATTACTATATTATCTGGATCTAGAATAAATAAAACAATTCTAAACTTGTAATAATAAATCACAATGCTTAACTGTACAAAGCATATTACATAAACTACATGTAAAGACTTTTGTTCGATTTTCATACAATAACATAAAAAGTAAAGTCTACTATAGTGTAAATCCCAATTCAATATGACCCACTGTTTCTGTGGAATGATTTACCAATATTTTTATTTTGGTACCAGGGATCGAACTTGGAACCTTGCGCTTGTGAGGCAGGTGATGGAACCACTGAGCTAAATCCCCAGGCCCATACCAATATTTTAAAAGCAAAGAATTTTTTAAAAGTTCAAAAGTAAATATATTTCAGTCATATATATATATATCCAATTTTAGGTTCAATTTGAGCTAATTCCAGCATCCAAAAAAACAAAAAACAAGGTTTTCTGAATGAGCTAGACAGCAGTACTAGACATTCCCCTGGAAAATATTTACATTGGGAATCTTATCTTTCAAATCAAAATTACCACTCTGAGAATTGGATGTAATCTAGACATCACCTACATGGTTAAAAACTGAATAGTCTATCAGTGTTCAGTGATCTATGGCATGCATGTTACTTGTTTTTCTTTTAAGACAAAGTATATTAATGTATGAGTTGTTTTTTCTAGACTAAAACCTCAGTATTCGGGTTTAATTGTAGTGTTGGCACTTTGCTATACATAAGTGGGATTGGGGAGGGGAGAGGAATGGGAAAATAAAAAAGCAAGATATATCAGGTACAGGTACAAATTCCCTACAATGAATGTTATCATTGTAAATATCTAAAGTGCATCAATAAAATAGAAAAATTAAAATCTTGAAAAACAATTAGTGGGTTTGGGGTTGCAGTTTGGTCCCTCGTTCTCTAAAAGGTTCGCCATCATTGGTCTAAAGCAAGAGATCATGTTTTCACGATCTTGATTTCTTTTAAAAATCGTGACAAAAATATTCCTATTCAAGGATAATTAAGAAAACCAAGGTTGTTTTTATCTTTTGTAGAGCACTACATTGTATTTCCATTTTGTAGGTATACCACTGATAAATTCTTCCTAACAGGAAATTTTTCTTTTCTGGTACAGTTTGATTTCCCACAATGAAAGTATCTGTGCAAGACTGGAATACTTATGTTTAGTAGCAATATGACTGGCAGCTCTGTAACTGGGATAAGCTCCTTGGACCACGGTTTCTATGGCAACAGTCTCAACTGTCCATTCTTACCTGCTTTCTGGTCATCCACTGTATTGAGTTTAGTCTCGTCAGCTACTGTTAAAAGGTAAATGTATAATGGTTAGCCCAGTTAGTTCCCACAGCCCAACATGCTTCAACCATTCCCAGATCTTTACAGTTAGGTGACAATTCTTAGGTACCATTTCATGCAAAAAATATGAAACATCAAGCAAACATTCATAATCAAAAATAAAGGGAGAGAAAAAAAGCAGTGCCTCCATGCAATATGCCAGTCATTTCATCTCAGAGACATGTGTGTTATTGTATGTTAGCATATCATAATTATCCAGAGCAAGGCATCAACGAAACTTATGTGCCTATGACAAATTAATGCTTTTAGTCTTCAAGTACAAACAGCCACCACAGAACAGCATAAGTTACAGTTGATTAACAAAGGTTTTCAAAAAATCATTCCGATTATAGATTACAATTAATTATCTTACTTTTTGGGGGTGGATTTGGATTTAAAGAGAGACACTACCTGATTGGTGTCTGATTGAACAACTATGGTTATTTTCCTCCTCTCATTTGTTCCCAAATATTTTCTATAATAAATATTCTCTCAAATTATTAATTTTATTAAATGCCTTAATTATCAAAACAGAGGTTCTAATAAACCTTAACAGCAATGAAAGGAAGATACCCTGAAGTAACCAAATTCTAGACATGGATTGAGATAATGATTTCTCTCCAAAACTTTGCCTTCCAGTGCAAAAATCCCAGAACAAACCAAATGCAATTTCAATGAAATCGCTTTTTACATAGTGTAAAACATTTCAGGTTATAAAATAAAAATACATGAATACAGTATGATATGCACATGTGTTTGTTTCCTTTCTCATAAGAAAACATATATTAACATATTGCATATTCTGTAAACATGCCACTTATGAGTAACACGATTATCTCAAACTCAGAGAAAAACTAATTTGCCAAATTGCTACATTTCACATTTATTTTCTCTATTGCTCAAAGTAAACACATATGTGTTCAGAACCATCAATTTTATCCTGAAAGCATCTAAACTTTATTTAGATAAAGATTCATGGAGATTGTACTCACTACCTAAATCCATGCTTTTTGATTTTCGCGTTTTAACGAAATCCAATTGACTGGCATCTGAAAACTGCTTTGTGCGTTTTTCTGACATACTCTGGCGTCCAAATCCTTCCCGCTGAAATGCTAGAACTGGATCCACATCTGGACTCAAAGAGCTGGTGAGAAGAGAAACACAAATGTAACAGCATTTACTAAGAAAGCAGGCATCTAATTTAGAAAAGTTGTACATACTCTGTGAATATGCATAGATGTATTCCTCAAAAAATTTAACCAAACTACACAGATACAGTTCAGTTTTTAAAAATACAAGATCAATTTAACATTCAGAGTAACTCTACATGTGAATTTTTTCTCTTCTTCCCTCTCCTAGTTTCTTCTTTCTCCCTTTGACAAAACACTGTTTCTAAGCGATTGCTACAGATGAAGGGCTGGGGTCTTGGTCAGCGGTAGAGCACAGCTTAGCATACCCAAGGCCCTAGGTTTCATCTCCAGCACCGAGAAAGTAAATTAAAAAATAAAAGAGCAAGTCAGTCTGTTATTTGCCCGACATTAGAAGGACTGAATATTTGAAAAACCAGGCATAAATTATATACATATACTGGAAGCGAGTATGATCACAGAAGTTGCAGCTGGCCAGCAGTTTCAAAAAGGATGTACCCTGGCTCCCTTACAAGCTGTATCTTGTGTTTCAGAAAAGGAAACAAACAAAAGCAAAACACTATGCCTTCATGAGGATGTAGTTCCTCTGAAATGGTTAATCAACTGAAAGAACTCAAGTCGACAACTCTGCCTGGGAACCTGTTCTGATTAAGGGGAAAAGGTCGTATTGGATAAGCCAAAATTAAAATAATCAATGAGAAAAGATCCTTTCCCTCTTCAAGCTTACAAGGAAAATGCTGATGAGAAGTCTGAAGCAAAAGCTGCGGAAGCACAGATGAGAGAATTAGCGTCTGAGCGAGTCAGGGAAAGCAGGGCTAAGCTTAGATGCATTTGATTTGGCTGACACCAAGGCAGTGGCCCAACTGAAGACAACAGGAAAGCATATGGCGGATCGCTGGAGATGGGTGATTCCACCGTGCCCAGTGAAAGCAGCTGGACATGACGAGAATCGCTCCCGTGTTGTTAAACTCTGCAAACATTTTCCTCCCAGGTGCTCTGAGCACAGTTCATACAGTGATCATGTCTTTCCCTCTGCTGGCTGCATGGAGTAAACGACCGGACCAACTCTCCACTATCAGGGCGGAGCCACCTTACCCACCTGGACAGGTAGGAGCACGCTCTACACAGCCTACACACACTGAGGGTGTGAAAGGGTCCCTGCTGCTCAGCTGAGTTGATGATAGATTGCCAGATGTTTCTGGAGGAAGCAAGCTTCTTAAGAATAATACTATTTACGTTGTTAAAAAGACACTGATCTGGTTTGCAGATACAGCAAAAATTTAGCTGAAGACAGCATTTGGGAGGCTGGGGCAAAAGGACTGTAAGTTTGAGTCCCAGCTGGGCAACTTGAGAGACTCTCAAAATAAAACATAAGGCGGCTAGGGATGTAGCTAGTGCTCGAGAGCCCCTGGATTCAATCCCCAGTACCAAAATAAAAATTAAACATTAGCTGCGATTTACTATGAAGGAAATGACAACTGGCTCTCAGAAGAGCTAAGCCAAAGGCTATAAAGAGTAGGACCCCAACGAGAAACCTCTGCCCTGAAGGGGCATGAGCTGCTTGGAGTCTAAAACTCCACGTGCTCAACCAAGACAACAGCTGCCGAACCCACATTTCAGAGCTAATGAGAGGATGCAAGATGGAGGTGCACGCCTTGCGTAAACCACAAACCACTAAACAAAGTCAGTTATTAAGAGATGGAGGCTGTCTGCCTCTACTTATCAAAATAAAACAAAGCATGGTGTCTTCAAAACCCTATCAAGGAAGTGGACAGTCCTCATCCATCTTTCCTGGCCAAGCGGGGCAGGGCCCAAGAGGTGACAGGTGTGCAGGGCTCAGACGGCAAGGAAGTGTCCCTCGAGGTCACAGGAAGACAGGGTCCACCCCGAGGGCAGTGGTGTGCTCAGAGCTGCCTCCGGAACCTCTTGGGACTCACACCAGGCCTGGCCCAGGAGCACAGGGCAAGAAGATGAATACAACAGGAGCCGGGAGTTCAGTCCAAGGCCAAACGAATTTCATTTTATATTACTGTAAAGCACAATGCTATATACTAGTAAGTGTCGCTTTATTTGTGTTCTACTTTGAATCTTTTCATTTTAATTATCATTATTTCTCCTACAAAACTTTCAACAGATGGGGTGGCAGGAAGGCGCGGGTCCAGGTTTGCAGTGAGTTTTCGGTGCCCTCTGTGCACCGCCATGCAGGGTTTGGGACAGATGGCACTCACTTTCCAGAGCACATCAAGTCAGTTTCAGAAGCGAGAATTCAAACCCATGCCATGACAGCTCGGACCCAGTTCTGCATAGCAAACTACAACACACTCCCAACACAGCAATTCTTTTTTCTTTTTTCTTTCTGTTTTTTGTTTGTTCTGGTACTACAGAATGAACCCAGGGTTCAGCTGCACTGAGCTACCTCCTCAGCCCTTTAAAAAAAAATTTTTTTTTAATTTTGAGACATAGGTCTGGCTAAATTGCCCAGGCTGAGCACACACTTGGATTTTTCCTGCCTCAGCCTCCCAGAGTAACAAGATTACAAGCATGTGCCAGCATGCATGTGGCTCTCTTCGATCATTCTGCTTGCCTATTTATTTATTGGTAACATGTAGAACTTTAAAGCCTGATCTCCAAGAAGGCATCAAGATTGTAGACAGAATGAAAGTGAAATACAACTTTAACAGAAAACACTGGCAAACATTTGTCAAAGAAATATAAAATGTCACTGGCAATGTTGCCTAAAAACTCCATTTGGCGTATTTCTAAACTAATTTTGTATCCTCTGAATTTATGCTGCCATTAAAGTTAGAATTTGCTGTCATACCCCCTCCCCCCAAAAAAACATTGTTAATGTTCCCTAAATCAACTAACAGATTGAAAAAAATTATATTCTATTATTAACAAATTAGAAGTTTAGCCATTTGACATATTTAGCCTTCCACAATTATACAATGAACTGTAAACAGACACAATTGAAATGTCAAATGAGTTTGGGAGTTAATAAGTGTCTTAAAATAACTATTCTTACACTATGCCATAATTAATTTTTCCCTATCAATACAACCATTTAAAAAGTAATTTCAGACACAGTAAACAGTATACTAGGATATTTAACAAGTGAGACAGCAGGACTGACAGATGATTCTTTGGAGAATGTATCCACATCCTGACCCTCAGCGTTATTAAAATTCCAGTTATTAATCCTGTCTTATTGCGCTTTTGTTTTCCTAACATTTTCATCAGAGATTAGGGAGATATTGTCGGGCTGGAGCAGCCCCCTCTGCCTGCTGTGACACAGGACAGCTGGGGCTCTTGTTTGGATAACCCTTTGTGCATATTTCCTCCTTGGCCTCTCACTCCCGACGGCAAAGCAACATAAGTCCTCCCCATTTCTGCAAATCCCCCTGAGGGAAAGGAGTCCCAAGATCCATCCCTGCGAGGCACTTCTTTCCACCATTGTGGGGCTTTGTAAGGCCCCCAACAGAGCTGTCCCTGTGTCTGACTCCACTGTTTCTCTCCAAGGTAGAGTCGAAGCTCTTGTGCCTAAGGTGAGCACTGGGCAGACCTAAACCTTCCTTGCTGTGTTGCCACCCTCCCTTTCAGAGAAAGAAACTAGCTATGGCCACGCACCCGCATCTGTGGGTTTCAGATGGGGTGCTTTCCCCTGTTACAGCTCCTGCCATGTTTAGCCAAAAGTATCATTCAACGCTGAACTATCATGGTGCAGGCGGGAGCATGGCTCTATTTTTATATCCTACATTTACAAAAAGAGAATTAAAGAAGAAAGAAAGAAAAAAGCTATAGAAGAACTTTTCAAGGGCCCAAACAACAGGCGAACTTATTCTGAGAACACCTGTACAACTGAGAGCTAAATGCACCATATTTTTGTGAATTTACATGGGGAAGGGGACAAAATAACTGAGGGAGGGTTTTATTTTGTTAATATCATTGCTAAAATATTCACGCAAATGGCTGCCAGTGTATTAATGTTGACACAAGTCAAGAAACATATAGGACGCATAAATGGATAAGCAGAGAAGGAATCAAGCTGTAGCGTTTTAAATACATTTTTGCTGATACATTCAGAAAGGACCCCAGAGAAAGGGCAATAAGAAAACACTGGTCTAACACTTCACAGGGTTTGCGATGACAACTGCTCCCACCTTGCAAGGTCAGCCTAAGAGGCTCTTTTCCCTTTGCTTACTGATGTATATAATTACTAGGTGTGTAGATTACGGCACCTTCACATTTGTGAGCCACACATTGACTCAATAATATCAAATGTTTTCTTCTATTTTGAAAGACACAGGAAAAAAACAGCAATGAGTCTGTCCCAAAAATAACTACATTAGAAGCAAGTAAAAAGCATTTTCTACAGTAGTAACACTCTAGAAAGAAACCCTAACAAAGCCTCTTCCCATTCCCAGAGCACATTAACTATTGGTTTTGCATCTAATTGTTGCAATCAACTTAGGGATTTGCTTAGGATGTATTTATTTACTAGAAAAACAATTCATCAAATTAACACAGACCTAAAATAAATAATAAACAGTGAAACTTAAAAATGAATGAGTAGGGTTTTTTGGTTGGTGGTAGTTTTGTTGCTGTTTTGGCTAAATTATTAACTGCAGTACTTGAAGGCTAAGGCAACTGAGCAAGTTTAGGGGTTGGGGTATAATTTATTAAAAATGATAATTAAGAGTATAAAAGCAATGAAAACAGAAAACTGCTATAAAGAACTGATTAACTGTGCTCACTGATAACCCACATAAAATAAAAAGTGATTGCAATTAACTACTGTTTGCCAACTCGGGACTAGGTGCTCACCAGTCGGCAGAATCGCTGATTGCAGTCTTAGCCCACACAGCGGCATCGGACGGCACGAAGCCCACGTCATCATGCGAGCTGGAAGAGGACTGGTCAGAGAGGTGAGGAGGGAGCACAGGCAGCTGGTCGTCCTCTATAATGACAGTGTCGTCCTGCGGCATGTTCACGGTGGGGGACAGCTGGTATTTACCTGTCCGGGGGAGAAAAGAGTGAGAGAAACTCTAGACACCGATTTAAGTGCTGTGTCTACTGATGTTAATTCTTGGCTGTATTACAAAACATCTAAACTTCCACACATCTGCTTAACTTACTAGAACAGAATTGAATTGAAGCACATTTATTTTTTATAAACAATTGTCGGAGACCTTGAGTATATTGCGACTTCTGATAGGATGGCAATGGGGCTAAGGGAACAGTGTGCAACTCCTCTGGTCTTAGGTTCCTAAAGGCAATGATGATCTCCAAAGTGTCTCCCAAGTTGTGGATACTAAGTTGCAAAAGTCCTTGGAAATTTTTACCAGGAAATGTAGACAAGCACTAGTAACGCACATCACCCACTCGTCCATTCACTCACTGGGCAACTCCCAAGTGCCAGGCAGGAGCAGCAGGACAGAATCTCCATCCTGAAGTGCTCATGCCCCAGGCGAGAAGGAGCAGACATGGCGGAGTGAGAGTGCTGCTGAAAATCCCGACATTCACTTGGGCCTGGGTGGCTTGGTACCCTGAGTGCCGGGAATCCCAACAGATGTTCACTTCGGAGTTGGTTTTGGAATGATGAATATGATCTTCTCCTCTGAAGAAATGATGGCATTGTGGACATCAGCAATGTCACCAGCAAGTGTATGATGAAGAAAGGGCCACTGTGCATTTAGGTGACATTTCAAAGATATGTATGCCCAGAATCAAGGCCTAGGGAAGGGCAGATGCCAGGTGTGATGTTGAAGTTAAGTTTAAAAAAAGGATCTGATTGCTCTTGATGTTTTGGGGCCATGACTGAAGAGCCTACATGCTTTGATTTATTCACTAAGGACACGGCGCTCGGGTCAGGAAAGATCCACAACTGTCCAGTCACTCGCAGGAATCTCCTCAGGTTCACGGATTGGCACAACCAGCATTCACACATCACACTTCCAAAGACAGAATTATATTTCAAGGTATTGAAGGCTTAAAGATGGGGTCCAAATAATGTCATATTTCCCCCAAAATCACTACAATTCTTGCAGCTTCCTTCCAAAGCCTTGTGCCACACTTCTTCTGAGCAGGAATGGGATGACAAGTCTGTGGTCCACGTGAACACCTTGGGGGCAGGGCATGGCCACAGGAAGGCCACCAGGACAGGACGTGACCTGGGAGCCTGGACTCCTAACAGGGACAGAGACCTGAGGACTTCCCTGCCTTCCTCACCTGAGGATAGAAAACTCACTGGAAGTCCGATCTCCAAATTCGTTACATCAGCTCTCCATGTTCCACCCAGGTAAAAGGCAGGCTGCGCTTTCCCAAAAGCTACCATGACCTTACACAGTGTGCACTTCTCCTTTTTATAAATTATTGTTAAAAACAGTACAAGAGCAATATGTACAGGGAGCTCATTAATATTAGTCTTGGATCTGCGTTTAAAAATAAACATTCATAATAAGAATGTTTGGGGAGGCATACATAGTCTTGAAGGATTTTATTAAGTGCAGAATATATTTTTCTAGACATTTTGGCACAATAATAACTATATGTCTTTCCAGGACAGCCCACAAAAGCAAACTTGCTGGAAATTTCAAACATTATTATTTAGCATCAACTACTTTATTACAGTAACATGAAGTGCTCATTGAAACTTCACTAGCAAAGTTTTCTAGAAAACCTTTCTACTTTGATATTAAATGCACCATTTTGACAAACTACGAAAACCAGCAGCTTTATATGAATGGTCATGATATGATGCAAATCAAACATGACAAATAATCATTTGTCTTTCTTGATTTCCAATCACTCATTCCTCCCTACTCAGTTTTAGGATATCAGTACAGAACCCTATTCAGCAGGTAACACTCATAAACTAGGACATTCTAACACAGTAGGCCGAAGACATGTTTCCCTCTCAAGACACACACACCCAAAATAAAACAGTGTATGAAGTCATAAAACCACGGTTATCACTGACAGACACTTCACAGTGATGGCATAGAGGAGTGTGCCACAACACTGATAAGGTCCTCACCCAGGTATAACTCATTGAGGGCAGAATCACAAAATAATCATAGCATACAGATTTTAAGACAGAAAAACTAAAAGCTCTTGTATTGACATAATATATTTTGAGGGACAGCCCACTAAAAAAGAACACTGATTAGTTCATGTGATAAATCCTTTCTTTGTAATACATTGCTCTGAAAAGAAATATTGTACTTTATTTTATTTATTATATATTTATTTATTTTGGTACCAGGGATCGAACTCAGGACCTTGTGCTTATAAGGCAGACAGCGGCACCACTGAGCTAAATCCCTGGCCCCCGAAATATTATACTTTAAATGATCCAAAAGTTTATACACACATCCACGGCAAAAAGTCTCTCCAATAAAACAAGAATTGAGCATTTTTTCCCACCCGTGATTCTGGAGGCTAATATTCCACAAGGTGTGATTATTCATATTTTTCATCAATTTTCCACTTCTTAGCATGCTTGCCAGGAATATTTTTGGGCCATGGCTCCAGGGATAAACTGTGTTATGAACAACAAAACTATCTAACTATATATTCTACCAGGCTTTACCAAGATAAAACCATAATCTCTTAATTATGTTTGCTAGTGCTTGGGACATACGTCATAAGTACGAAACCTTCTAAGAGTGATTTGAGAAGCCTTTCATCTGTTTTTGATGGATAAAATATCTTTAATCCTCAATTAATCAACATCTACAAACTAAGAAGTAAACTAAGAAGACAATGAGATACAAAATGATTGTTTACTAAACATTTATTCATTGGTAAATTTACATAGAATCCAACACCATGCATGATACTGGAAACAAAAGGAATGAGGAATATTGTGCCAGTACTAGGACTTACAATGAAACAACATCAACGGCTCATTTTTCTATGTCAATTGCTAACAAAATGACAATATTCTGAACATAATCACTATTTAAACTCACTACAAATGTATGAACACTGAAACCACTGAGATAAATTCTGAAATGGATACAACAGGTTTCAGTTTCTGCTGTAAACAAAAATTTTTCTGATAAAAAGTTGGGGAAAAAATTAAGGTTCTGTGCTCCCAATATCAACTTGTGATGTATTTTATGGATTGACCATGTTGGTTAAATTAGCCATTGTTAGATAAAGTAGTCTAACAATTGGAAATGTTCTGTTGAATCTGCAAGACTACTGTAAAATTCCAAAGAGAGGAAATGTAGTCAAAATATATGATGTCTGGAAATATCCGGCCCTTGGTCACAGTTCTGATCTATGCCACCCACAGCCAAAAAGATAGGTTAAGTATGAGTAATGTGGGACGCACAGCCCAGAAAACCATACGTCCACAGTTTGGTTTGAAAAAAAAAAAAAAAGGTACAGTTTCAATCAAGCTATCTCACTTCTTCCATCTCTAAATCTCACAAATAGAAGTAGAATGTAGTACAGGATTTCTAAGGTTATCTCAAAGATGAACTTTAATTTTTAGATCAAAGTGATTGGCAGGATGGAAACAGGTTCTTTTTCTTTTCCCCCTGGCCTTCTGAGAGTAGTTCAGGACGGCCTTGTATTCACTATGCCCAGGCTGGCCTCAACTCAGTCATCATCCTGCCTCAGCCTCCAGGGTGCTGGGACTATGGGCATGCGCCACCATGCCCAGCCAGAACACATTCTTGAGATTATCAAATGCTTTTGCTTAAAGAATGAACACTTTTAATAGATGTGAATAAAGAATGAATCTCATGAATGTCACAAACGTCATTCGCACTTACTGTTCAACCTCACCATTCCCCAGAGAGAACTATTTCTAAAAAGAGGAAATACCCCAAACCAAAATACAGCAAAAATCATCATGGGATCTTGGGACTTCATTCTTTTATTTGCTAAGTGAGAAAGTGTGACATCTGACATCCTTCCAAGTAGAAGGCTATGCCTTTTTTGGTGTATTTTTTCAAAGCCTTTCTCTTGGGTTAAGTTCCCAAAGAAATGGATCAGAAGGCCTCAACATTCTCTTTGGTCTAGGGAATAATCTATGTGAAAATCTGCCCTCTTCATAAAAAATTAATCCCTTCTTCCTGTAATCACCAGGAATTTCAATACAGAGTTCTCACCCTACCAAACCAGATCATATAGTGAACACCACCACATCCATAGCCATCTACCCAGGAGAGATTCTAAATGTTTAAAGACAACCATTAAACAGAATCTGCCTGAGAAATTTTAATGTACCTGGACACTGTACAAATCAGTAAATACTGGTGCTACTCGCATAGGCTAATAGAAATTCAGTGTGGTACCGTTTTGCTATTTGGTGACCAAGTAACATCTCTTACAGAATTTCTAACTTGGAGCTTTAACTAATTTCATAAACAGTAGTTGATTCTTAGGGTCAGTGACTCTAGGATAAGGGCTGAGTAGACTTGAGTTAGTTCTCAAGTTTGCAAAATGCAAGATCGGTCAAATTTATCATATACATTTCTCATGGTAAAACTACACAGGATCCCTAGTTCCCAGTAACACACGTATAAAACTGTCTTAGTATGCCAGTCATAAAATGTTCATTTGGTCTGCTATCAAATGGTAATAAATCTGTCACCCTGGTCCCCAGGCCAAAAGAAAAGACCATGCACAGTACATCACAAACCATAGAGCTGGGAGAGGACCCTGTTACAGGGAGGCAGCTGGAGTGCAGGAGCTCAATCCATACATAGCAGAGCGGGGAGGAAATAATGGCAGCTAGAACACCAGCCAAGGAGGACTAACAATAGTCAAAGCTACCAAAATCTGCTGAGAGGCTACCGAGAAAGCAAAGGACTCCTCAACCCATACATATAGCATTTCAACAAGTCACTACGTGAAAACTTGGAAGGTTTTTTTGGTTTGTTTTTTAGTTTTAGGTTTTCGCCTTCCTCGGAAGCATCGGGGATTGGAGGCAGGATGCAGCTTACAGGAACTGGTGGACCAATGGTCTGATTCAGTATGGCAAGTCCTACGTTCCTATAATAAAGGGGAGATTACAGCGTATCACTTCGTATGCACACAGATCTAGGTACACAACACACACATACACACTCCTCTCTCTTAAAGGGGCTGAACTTTCATCAACAGAAAAGAATTCAACAAAGATAAAGTTTTACACCAAAGCCAGTAAAGTATGGAAAATCCAACAGCAGTCAAGAGAGTGATAATAAACAATGACTAGCGCCAATAAACTATGTAAAAAGCCTTCCCCCCAGTGTGTTCAAGCCAACAGGTGAAGCCCTTCACTGACCCTCTTACGCCAAGCAAGTAAAAAGAAAACTGCTGCAGAGTAAAACCAGAGAGTTGGCATGTACAAGTTCTACATGTAACAAGGTGAGAAATAGAAAATTAAGCAATTTTTCCCACTGAGAAAGCAAAGATTAGCAGAAAGAAAAATGTCCTAGTCATGTTGATGTATTTTTTTCTATCATGTCCAGTTCTTTGAAGGCAGAAATTGTTTCTTACTCATCTTCATGTCTAGTGCAAAAGTCTGTACATACTGTCCAGCCATTGGTATTCTCTCCATAAATACCATGGATGAATTAAACAAAGCATTGTTTCAATGAAGCTCCATAATGGAAACTTGAATTGTGTTAAATCTGTATCACGAGCATGCAAAATGGAGTTAAATTTGGGGTTTTACATTAAATGAGAGCCTTGTGAAAAAACATCGATAAGACAAATGTTTTACATCAGGTGTTATTTTAATCACAACTGCATCTTATGCCATAGATTTGAGAAACCTCACAAGCTAATCCTAAGAGGGGCAATCCTGTACCCGAGCCTCCTGTGATGGAGCGGGTGTTCAGGAACTGCAACTGTGAGGAGGAAGCTGCACTGCGCAGCATGTGCTCATCACCTCATTACCCACGGGGGCCATGTGGACAGTGAGGGGCCGAGTCCAAAAAAGGCTCCAGAAGACTAGTTTCAGGGTTCAAAGCTAAAGCTGGGAACATCAGAAGTGCGCTTAAGATACATGTGATCCTACTAAGGGCAAACCAGGTACATGGGAGCCTCGCGTGTAGACATGTGTGTCGATACGGGAAGACATACTCTTCCTCTCCCTCCAAGCAGTGCTGGGAGTGTCGTAACTATGCATCCTTCTCACCATAAACTATTCAATTCTGATTTTTCAAACACACTGCTTCACTCATCTCCAATAAGCTAAGAATATCTTGATCACTAGAAAACATTTCTTCCTGGCCCTTTTCTTTTTTGTCCTTCCCATGTGTTATGGGATCTAAAACTCAAACAACAAATCCAGGTATCGATTTACTCCTTCCACACGAATGCTTCCTGAGGGGTTATAAGGAACCTGTACTCCCTCCTCTTGCAAACACAGGCCTCCTGTACATTAACAATCCATTAATAACCTCTCCGTGAACCAGTGAGAGCACAAACAGGAGCTGAGATAAACAGGACACCTGACTCACCCATTATCCTGCTGAGTGCCACGTTCCTGCTGGGTGATTCGTCAAGCCCCTCGAGCCCGCTGTAGAGAGAATGGGAAATTCTCCGTTCTCTGTCATCCAACACGGTGTCAATAGGCAGCTCGGGTCCAGTGGGGCTCCCAGGTGACCTCAGCTAGAGAGAAGGGGAGCAGGGGAAGAATCAGTACTGGAGGCCCATTCTCAGTGGGGGGGAATTGTAACAACTTGCCCGAGGCCTGCATCCAACTGGGTACCAAATGAACTAGAACTTTTCACCCTGTACCAAAGTAATTTGTGATGACAGCTGTGCCTAATGACCAACTTTCTGTGCCACTTTATCCTGTGCCTCCCATGAAGTTCTGTCAGATTTCAACCATCGGAGGAAAAATATGTATATTAAAAGCTCCTTTTTTAATCTCACCTTGTTGCTTATTTTTTCAGTTTGACTGTTAGTATCTGTTGAAGTCGATTTAAGTTATAGTTTAATTTAGAATTCTTTCCTGGTCGCTGCTTTGTAAAAGGCATGCTTTGCAAGAACAGAAGCTGGACTTTCGCTGCAGTTTTTATGCCTACAGAACGCTTAATACATCCAACAATTAGCACAGGTTTGCATGTGTGTGGTGGAATTAGGACCACCTCTACTTGTCAACTGGGGTATCTGTAACATTACACTGGATCTGAATTTCTTTGGGTAAAAATTCAGAGCAATCATGGTATCAACTTCCTGTCACCTTTCAGTCTGAGCAGTGAGTAGCGGCGACAAGCATTTTAAGAATGTGCACAGTAATATGGAAGCTAGGACCAACCAAATATCATTAGGGAAGCAGACAAATTTATGTGTGAAAAACATGCAATCTACTAATGAGCCAAAAAACAAAAAATCATTTTCTATGACCACGAATTAAAATGGTATGTGGCATTCCTTAGAATACATTCTTTACAGAATTAAAAGAAAAGCCAGGCGTGTCAGGGAACACGCCTGTAATCCTAGCACCCGGGAGGTTGATACAGGAGGATCACTGCAAGTCTGAGGCCATCCTGGGCTACATAGTGAATTCAAGGCTCCCCCAGACTAAACAATAAGACCTTGTCTCAAAAAACCCACACATGCCGTAATGAAATAACAGGAAGAAGACATCTATGTTAGGAAGGCCCTGAAGCAATTCTGTGGCCAGGGGAAACAGAGTAGACTTAACCATGGCCCACAGTTAGACTCCAAGGCTGGGCCCAGGGACTCGGGCTGGCCAGAGGGGGTGCTCGGGAGCCTGGGGCAGGCAGAGCCTGCCCAGCTGGGCCCAAACCAGCATGCACATTTCCACAACTGCTGAGGCTCCTTCGCTGGAATAAATTATTTGTTTGAAGCTATCATGTGTTTAATATAAATGAGATATTTAATGAAGTTGCGAGTTGTAGACTTATCTCTCCCAGTTTGATAAGTACTGGGGAGATTTAATGCATTGCCGGGTCAACACAATTACAACTGGAAGCGCGTCAAGCTACAGGAGAATAATAAACTTGCAGAGCCAGTGAATTAGACTCAATAAGGTTTAAATTGTGAAATGAGGATTTGTTTTATTAGATTTTTATTTTTGTTTAAATTGCCAATAACAATGGACAGCTTTACTGGAAAGTAAATTAAATAGTTAACGTCTAGGGTGTAAATGAATAAAAAAACATTTTGTGAAAGAATACAATGCCTAAACTCCAAAACACTGGGGAAGTAAAAGCAAAAAAAATAAATCACACAAATGAAATTCATCTTATACCATTAAGGAGAAGTCTGTTTTTAAAATTATGAGATTTTATTTTTCTTTCAGGCCTGTCACAGCCTAAATCCCTTACATATCATAAACACCTTATCTTATTGACAAGAGAAAGTAACAGATTCAAAGGTTTCAAAGACTATTCGTAGGCAAAACATCCTACATCATCCATCTTTAAAAAAAATATGCTGGGCATGGTGGCACATGCCTGTGATCCCAGCACTGCAGAAGCTGAGACAGGAGGATCACCTGGGCCATCTTGGGCTACAAAGTGAGACCTGTCTCGAACAAACAAAAATAAACAAAAAAAGCAGACTGAGCTGTGCTTTTCTCCTGCAAAATGGGCCACCTTTTGAGGCAGAGGATTAGGGCATGGGAAACTGGCTGGAAAGTGGGCGTGACCTGTTAATTACAAAGTCCCAGTTCACATGAGCAGAGCCACCTGTGCAAGGGGACCTCTGAACATGGTTACATCTTCCCCTGTGGAAGGAGCTGCTATCTTCCTACCTGTGGGTGGGCCATCACATTTCTCCTACAAACCAAGCCCAAATTTCCTATAGATTTACAAATTCCACAGATTTTCACCAACAAAAGCCCACACATATTCCCAGCTCCAGACTATACTGCACCTCTCTCTCGAGGGTCTGCACTCTATTTCCTTGGAAAAATTTGCCTAATAATCTCTTCACTTGATCTTAGCCAAAAGGCCAAGAAGCAATGCCTAATAATCTCTTTATGCCTCTTTAAAAATACATAAAAGTATGAGAGTTTTAAATGAGTGCATACATTAAGGACACTTGTTTAGCTGGACATGGTAGCCTAGGCCTGTAATCCCTGCACTTGGGAGGGTGAGGCAGGAGGATGGGTTGCTGTGAGCCTGGGCTACATAGTGAGTTCAAGACCAGCCTGAAATATATAGCAAGATCCTGTCTCCAAAAAACAACAAAAACCCCTCACACTTATTATCTAAATTTCTGTACATAAGTTCTGCTTGCTATACAATCATGTATGAGAGGTGAAACATATCCTCAAGTTTGCCAAAAATGTATTTACTTCAATTATAAAATTCTGCAACTTTCTGAATGACAAGACCTTTATAAACTTCCTTCATAAAACAATCCCTAAGTATTCCAAGGGGCTATTTTTAAAACATCAAATAAAGATTCCATGGAGGGGTTGAAGGAAGGGCTGGGCAGGGGTGAAAAATAAGAACCAAGAGAGACTATGTAAAGGTGCAAATTTCCAATGATGAATGTCATTATATTGTATACCTAAAATGTACCAATGATTAGAATGAATAATCGATAATGCAAAATAGGAAGAAAAGGTCCAAAGGGGTAGGGGTAGTGGGAGGGGCAGGGGAAAGGAAAGAAGGGAAAGGAAAAATGATGAGAAATGGAAAAATGGAAATAAAGTCTTTGTAAATAGGGAAGGGTGGAGGGGGTGAAGGGAGGGCTAGGAATGGGGAAAAAATAAGAACCAAGGTGCATTATGTAAAGGTACAGTTCCCAATGAGAAATGTAATTGTGTTGTATACCTACAAGGTACCAATAAAAGAATTTAATAAAGTGCAAAAAAAAAAATTGCACATGCAGGCTTTGAAGAGAAAGACAGTAAGACGTCTGTTCAGGAGGAGCCCTGCACTTGAACATTTCCAAGGAAAGGTTTCTATACCTCCCCTACCCCAACCTGTGTCTAATTTGCATCTGAAAAGAAAGATTTAAATGAAGGCATCCATAGTCTCCTACATAAATATTTAACAGAACGCACAATGCCTTTTAATTTCTGCAGTGTAAAAAAAAAAAAAAAACTGATTGGGGTACACGGTTTTGTTTTAAATCTTTTGATAATTTCTTTTAGCTGCAAGAAAATGTATTTCAGGGAGTGAAATCTTCCAGGTGGCATTCTAGCAGCAAGAGGAGGCAGACCAATGCCCCTGTATTAAAATTAAGCTTAATTAGAAGAGAAAACCAAATAGAACTGCACTTTTCATGTCCTTGTCTCTTTGTGGCTGAAAGTGCAAAACTTCTGCAATCTAACACAATTCAGACTCCGGTAGCAGTTGTTGTTTAGCCCCTCAACTTTATCCTAGGACAGCTTTTCTACCTATTAAAAAACAAAATCAGGTCTAAACTGGACATGGTGGTGCATGCTTGTAATTTCAGCTCTCTGGAGGAAGCTGAGGCAGGAGGATCACTGTGAGTTCAAGGCCAACCTGGGCTACATAGTGAGCTCAAAGCCAGTCTAAGTAATATATCGAGACCCAATCTCAAAACAAAAAAAGGTCAAAATTAGGTCTAGGTTGAAGCAAGAAAATCAATACTGACATAAGTGTGATACAGTGTTTTGCTTAAGTAATTTGAAAGTGTTTATCACAGCTCCAAAAACTTCTCATTTTTTGACTCTTTGATCAGAAATGTAGTTCCCTTTGTGGTCGCCATCCCAAGGAAATCATAAGGTAAGTCAATAATATTCTTATGAATCATTCATTGGGTGTGGCCAGATGGCTAAGCAAGTGGGCGCGTCCAGTCAATCACAGAGATCCAGGACACAGGCGCCCAAACCCCACCCCTGGGACCAATCAGAAAATGCTATCTTTAATTCTCCTGGTGATCAAGCAGGTTTTTGATAGGTCGGCCTACATCTGACATCAGCCTGAGGAGTGGGGGTACAGAAGATGGCGGCCATTAACCAAGCGGCTGCTGTGCTCTGTCCTTCTCAGTGGTCCACTCTCTCTCTGAAGAGTGTTCTTCTTTTCTTACCTGCAATAAATGCAAAACCTTACTACATCTTGGACATTTCTTGTCCAATACTTTGCTCAGGACACCAAGAACCCGGAAAGAATCTCTAGAAAGAGTCCACAGCACTCCAGAACCCCACTAACACTATTATAGCTTTATTTAAAAGGTATGAAAATTGGGATTGGGAATAATCAAAATAATGCAAATATGGCATGTTTTTTGAGAAGGATATTCAAATTATATCTTGTTTTTTAACTAGAAAATAACAAATGCTTTTCAATAGTAAAAAACTGAGTGTTGCCCAATGAAAATGCTTTTCATTACGTTAAAATTTTGGTTTCCTTTAAAGAAACTAATGCAATTTCTGTGGGGTTTAGCAAAATCTCATTTTGTTAAAAGTATGCATTACTGGGGCCGGGGATTTAGCCCAGTGGTTCTGCCACCTGGCTTGCAAGCGGAAGGACCCGAGTTCAATCCCCGGTACCAAAAAAAAGAGAAAAGTACACATTACAGTACTGGGTCAGCTGACGTCTTTCCCATGAAGTAGGTATAACTGAGCACCTGGCTCTATAGCCATGGGAAAGCTGGCACAGGTGTTCGTACACTTATCTCATTAGCAAACTAAAAACCGCATTCTGGCCAGCAATTGG